TCATCGTAGATCAAACTTCAATCCGAATACGTGAAAGTATCACTGCACTCGTTTAAAATAAAACAATGATGAATGTGCAGATGACGATGAATTTAAAATTCAGATATTCAAAATTGAATATATGATTTGGTCTTTCTGATGGGACACTGGCTCCAATTGTATGCCTCACAACAAGTGCTAGAAAATTGCATGTTATGAGTCGTTCCTGGTTTTAATTAACTCCATCGAGAAAATAACGTGTTGTTGCCGCCGGTATGTCGTAATAGCTGGCGACCTTTTTACCCTGTGTGTTTATGGGCAAGTATCATACCGGTTATCCATCTCTCGTTTAATGACAATTTGCATGGGGCCAATAAAACAATAATACAGGATTGATGCGTCAAGCGATGGTAAATCCAGCGATGTGTTGACATTTAGTCTAACTGGTGTTTGGATGGAATACACAATCTGTCAGCAGCCTTCCAAGCTAATATTTGCAGTATTGAAATAGCAAATCCCACGTAATACGTTTTGGACATTCCCAACATTTATCGTCTTTTGCCGTCAGTTAGAGAAAGAATGTATTAATCGTGCAATTAGTATTATATACGAACTACGAAATTATCATATAAATTGGGCGTTATGCCAAGCACATGTGATATAGCTTCTTCAATCCCCTTAATATTGAATTACAGCGTACCACAAAGACTACTCCAGAAAGGAGTTGCAAATTGCACTGTCAGAAAATGATGTAGTAGCGAATACTCATATTGATAGCCCTTGATCAGTTCGTCCGAGTATATGCATAAAAATTACTCATGGTTTCAACTAAACTCGTGACAATCATAGGTAAATTGGTTCGTTTTTTTATGTGCATGCGCCTGTTTACCAGTGGCACAGCCCTTCATTTTCTTACTAGTTGGATTAAAGCGAAAAAAACAATCAAGCTTTCCTGTGTATTAGATTATATATTTAGGGAATAACATACTGCGTTTTCAGTGTACAGCTAGGTTACCTGTTGATTTAACCGCGCTCAACTGAATTTAGAACCGAACGCGCAGTGTGGATGTATGACATTGGCAGAATTATTCAATTTCAGGTTGGTATTATTTCAGAAGTGAAACCTCTATCGATATCGATGTATAACAAAGTTTTGGTATAACTCTCTTCAGCATTTTTACATACAATTGAAATAAAACAAAGAAGGAGAATTTGCAAAGATCGAGCCTTTTTTGACGGTTATGGTGAACAAGGTACATTTAAGGTTACAAGGTGCGTGTCTAACCGTCGGCTATGGACAGCAAGCTAGGGTACACAATTGACATATGTATCGTACCTCATATACGTTGATAAGCACATCGTTCTCAGCAAAGGCGCGTACTTTCATGTGTTTGTACGAAAGTATATAGGTCCATGTTGAAATTATATTGTTGTTGATATCATAACCGGCTGCTCTCCTATTCTCTGTTCTCGCCAAGATTAACTTCAATCACCCTAAAGCAGCGTATGTGTTAGTGCTACTATGCATAAACAATTTTGTGATAAAATTTAGATAAAACTTTACGTTGTACAAATCGTGCCCCCTTGAACGAGGTTCACTATCTTGTTATTCGCTCATACATATTTTAATACAGAGTTATATATCTACCTGACATTATTTTTCATGTACGCACAAATAGTAGATTGCCTTTAAGTGCAAGACTCACAAATTGACTATACTGATGAGACGATACGTCTGAATGTCTGCCTCTTCAGTGGCTAGTCCCTAATGCAAATTCGCCTAATTCGAGACAGGTAGCATTTCAAAATAGTAATGCTCCCTAATGTTAGATAATTACCCTATCAGAAGCGATGTCAAAAGGAACGTTCCAAAAGGTATAATTACGCGAATTCACTACATTTCTAAGGTTAATATGTCAGTACATCCGGTTTAGATGCCCACATTCCTTTTTTTTTAAATTTAACGTAATGGCTGTACCGTTGAGTCAAATAGGGCTTAATTACAAACTGTAAAAGGAGTACTATCGGTGAACAGCTGGTCTGCACTCCACTTATGTGTTCGGACCATTTCCAAGACTGTCAGATATCTGTTACATTTCCTTAAATCCAGAGCCGTATTTGCACTAGACAAATATATGTCCTCTAAGTGACGCCTCATATGATTGCAAAATCTCAAGATGCGACCATTACCGAGTTCCTTAATCCATTTTCATCGTTTCAACAGCGCGGTCAGGTCGGTTGGCGCCCGTACGCGTTCCAGATAGCATCATTCGCCTTGATTCAATAACGTTAGGGAAAATGTGAGTTTATGATTACGTAGTGTGAAAACGTAATTGGTTTTCACCACAGTCAGTTTCCATTTTAAGTCCTTAAGATCAATAGCAAACAATTTACATATGATGAAACGTGCCATCTTTGCAAAGATACAAAATTTGTACATTCCACATCTTGAAAATTCAGAATGTATATGTCATGAGTAATAAAACATGCTCCCAGTTCTCAGCTATCATTTGTTGCTTTCATCTTTCATCTCCAATTATAAAATCAGAAACCATTCTGGGTTTTTTCCTATGAAAGGAATGACTGCCCAGCCAAAGAAGAACTAACAATGACCATTAAAAAACAAACATCAAAAGTCACTCGCCCTCTCTCTGTACTAGTTTAATGCACATGCTTTATTCAATATTATTTTTTAATTACTAAACATGGGAACAAATAGTGACCAGAGGGGAAATAAGGATGATCTGTTAGTGAAAAAGTAAGATCAGAGGCTCTGACAAGGAACTACTTTCATCCAAGACAGGTGAACACATTTTATTCAAATGTTTGATAAATCATATCATATATACAGATATCTTTCGAAAATGTAATTACATTCATGTCCTACAAAAGCATTTAAAATCATTGATACTGTTCTTATTATTGACATGCATAGAATAATTTCGAACTGTTCTCAACAATACAGCTGATGGACATCTTTTTGCATTCGCTAATGTTTGTGACGTGTACCGCCGCTGGAGCAGGGTACGCTCACCTTTTCGCGAACACCTGGTGTCATCACTATTTGATAATGATTCATAAAGACATGCTCATGATATAGTCGGAATCGTACAATCGACTCTTCTTTTGGCAGAGATATCCTATGAATATGAATATTTTCGCTTTTATTTATTATCAATATATTTTAGAATCGCATTTTGTACCATCAGATGGAATCTTTTGACATCTTCACAACTATCTTGCTCTGCATTTGTCGATTATGTCAAGTAGCATTATAATTTCATGCTATTTATATACGGATACGGATATATAATTTGGAGCTACTCTTTACTGCCTTCCTATTTGTTTTAATCCATGAACAGATGACAGTTATCGAACTGTCGTTCGAGAAGACTAATTTTGGCCACCACCGCCGTGTGAGATCAGTATTGGTAGTAATCATTCGATCAGGCCTGTTAGCCCATGCGTCAATATCTCACGTTTAATTACCTGTCTTTGACTTGATACCCTTCAGCAACGACAATAGGAATGTTAGAGGTCTTTGATCTCACCCTGTCTGATTCCACATAATGAACAGTAGGATATGTTTCAGATGTTTGTCCTGAACGAGTTGTTTTTGTCGATGTTATAAATGTGCGGATTTTTAGGAACGGACTTTAGAGTGATAATGGCTTTGAGTCTTTGAAATAGAACAAGTACATACATTAATTATTTGCCACATCCAACTATAAATAATCAAATGATGCTACATTTTTCCCTGGGACTGAAATCACTGTACCAGATTAAACATTGTATAGGTAATACCTGACATTATATCATAAACTCGCCTGTGTATAGTTCCCATGTAACAAGGACAATTCTCCTTTACAAACAGTCTATTTACTTAAATCATAAACCTTCCTGTTACCCTACGTGGCGCTCGGTGTTGAGAAGATAGAGCTAGGACTGGATGGCTCAGTACAGTGAGAAGCGTTCGTTCGTCACACCGGGTTCCATTGCCCACATGGGGACAATGCGTGAAACTCTGAGTCATATTGCTGGAATATTGCTAAACGCAGCGTAAAACCATAATCACTGACTCACTAATATTCAGATAGGCAATTGTCCCTGTTACCTATTTTCAGCACTATCAAGTAAAAATATTGTTTATGTTATGAAAGGAAACATGCACATATCAAATCTGTTCGATTGTGTGCATGAGTTCATGTAAGCATAGGATAATACGACTGAGCTTAATCGTTATTTAGAGCCCATATGCATAAGTTCTGAACAATGATTGAAACTGTACAAGTAGTTCATAAAGTTCAATTTTATCAGTTAATACATGGTAGCCATCTCTTTTTACGCCATTGAAACTGAATACAGATATTTGTTTAACCACATGCATACATCCTGTATATACCTTAAAATAGTTTAACGGAAATAACAACTGCACGATAGTTTTAAAAAAAATGTTCAGACAATGTAACCTACCCGAAATCTTTGTAGAGGTAGGGGTAATATATCTGCGCTCAAACTGCTTGCCGATGCAAATAAATGCACGCGAGAACTCAGGAAAACTCCAGCTACACCACGATGACCTGTAAATAATCAAATATGGACTAGACCCACCATTGATTAAATGCATGATCTAAGTCACAGAACCTGACCACCATTCCAGTTAAGTTGTCTCTTAACACAACTGTTGATTTTCTGGCGTTCACGTTTTGAATTTACGACAATACAGACAATATCTTTCTGGTGAGCTGTTCTAGCCTGGGTCCCTTCGGGGTAACAAGTACTCAAACAAGGTGGTTTGAGGTATGCCGAGAAATCTTAGTGGACTCATCAACATGCATGGTATTATTGGGACCTACACGTATTCCGAACCGGAATCTCCACAAGGACATGAATAAATGAAAATGAACTAGACATGGGGACAGTTATAGACAAAGAAGATCACGTCGGGTTACTCAATTGTTTCTTTCTTGAAAGACATCATTAATGTATGATCGTTGAATAGCACTTGTGTTTCTTTACAGGCTGGCAGCTGGGTGCCTTTATGTGTAAGCTGACGCCCTATCTCCAAGGAGTGGCAGTATGTGCGTCCGTCAATACACTGGCAGCAATAGCATTAGACAGGTAAGTTCCTATCATACTTCCAAAACGAACAGGAAGTTTATTGTGCACACTGCATGTATGTTTTCGACCAACATATTTCATTGTTTACGAAAGGCACTCATAGTCTACAGCAACATATTATATGCTTAATGCGGTTAATTGATTATGCCGACTGACACATTGTATAGAAACACACATAGACATATATTAATGAAACCGTTAAGCGACATAGTCTGTGTTGTAAATATATGGCCATAGTTCAATCACAGTAAAGGCAAATAATAGATCCTTCCTTATAAGTGAATAGTTACCGAGGATCTTTTTAGTCTGGAACAGGTTTATCCGATGTTATTTATGTAGACAACTGTCTGGAAAGCCAACTCTTCTTCATAATTATTTGCCTTTTCACTACATTTGCAGAGTACACATAAATAACAAACTCAATTAATCTTGTGTCCAACCTGTGAAGGATATTTCCAATTTGTCTGATGTTTTCCAGCAAGCATGCCACATAAGTCCTAAATGTCTTTCATTTTGATCAATAGAAAACTGATGGGAACTTTCGTGTCATGTCGTTTGAAAGACACTGGACTTCGAGTTCTCTTGCAATAGGCGCCAGCTATAACTCGGTGATATATCCCATCTTGTAATCATTGGACCCATGTACCATAACTAGCCGCCAGGCGTCTTTCTCCCTTCAAAATGAGTTGTATTTGCAACTCTTTGGTTTCCCCGCTTCCTTCACAAAGGCCAACTTAAGAAGGTTTTTATACCTGAGACCAAAGACACACGTCTCCATTGTCCCGGTAATAAACCTGATATGTTGTGTTTAATCTTGCCTTGACCACTCTCCCGATAAATAGTGTTGAGTAAGTAGCTGGTCAAGAGTGTATTCCAGGACACCGTCTAATTGACCCAGTGAACTGGAAGCCAGGCCCGGACAGTGATTGAATCGTTTAGGTTAAAGTATCCAGATTGATTGCAGTTAGATATCTCATCTGAACGCCCTCGATGACACTTAAAGCGACCGATCAAAATTTCAATGTCTTGTGCGAGGCTAAAACATATTAACCATTCTACTTTAGAGCCATCAACATATAACCAATATATTAAATTAAAAGGATTGGGGTGAAATTTAACGCTGCGAAATTCATTACTTTTGAAAGCGTTTTCTCTCGCCTCACAATATTTTCAGAGTCAGTGACATTTGTCAAGAAAGCTGTCATATTGACAGAGAAAACCAGCAATACACTATCCTTCCAAGATGCCAAGTAGTATGGGATCTTTGAGTGAGTGAGTGATTTAAAATTTTACGTCGCATCGGCATTGTTTCAGCCATATAGAGACGAGACCAAGTGAATATATACACAATTTAGTTATTTATGCAATGTCATATTTAAAAACAATTTATGAAACGTTTGAGCATACTATATTAAAAGCAATTCATGAAACATATTTCAGCATAACAATATCATGTATACAGTTTTAAAACACGGGCTATAGGCCACCAGTAACCAAAGCGAGGCCACCTCGCTGGGGATCATGGGAGACTTACAGTACCTCGACTTCCTACATGATACCCCATAGGGTATTTCAGTACTGTGAGCTCAACTTTAATAATATCTCGAGTTTATGAACAGTGTGTTCAGAAGGTCAGCAGCCCTGCAGAGTCGGGCAGAGTACAAATGTTGACATAAGAAAATCTTGAGATCAGAACTGAACGCTCGCAATAAAATTAAAGCTAAATATATTTATGTTGTACTCTTCCTCTTTCGTATTCTTTTGGTGTTGTTGATTGGACGAACCAAGAAATTCAGGGTATTGACGCCCTCGCACGAAGAATCATGTCAAGCAATAGATTCCACCACACTCGCAATTTCTCTCAATCGCTTATATTTAGCAATTATCAATGGGAGGGCGGGGTTTGATTAACGTGGAGGCTCTTCATGGTAGAATTGTAATGTGCACTTTTGCACACACTTATTTGTCTGATGATCCTCTTATGAAGCATGTCAAGATAAAAACAAGACATTCCACAGTTTCCTTAAACGAGACTTTAAGAATGTTGGAGAAAATCACAATGTCAATGTTGAATTTGTTGATGGTTCTGTACTGCTGGATGGTATAAAAATGATTGTCAACCACATGCCATCTCAAATCGGCCCTGACTCAAGGAATCGAGTTTATGTGCAGTGTGTTGAGAAGATCTACCACCCTGCAGAGTCATTCGCTTGGATGAAGTCGGTTCGCTTAAAAAGTGAAACCGTCAATGTTTGATTTTGCATCAAAATGTAAATATGAAATGTAGATTATGAAATGAATTTAATGAGACACATTGTTAGTGGATGCTCAGCTTTGGCAAAAACACAGTATCTTAAGCGACATGATGAAGTGGCTCGATCTATTAATTACCGTCTTTGCCTTGCTTGTGGTTTTGGTACAGAGGTCCACCCATGGTACGACCAAGAATATGTAGAGGGCGTCATAAAAATAATAACAATCAAAGTCATAAGAAATCTCAAATAAAAGCAGAGTCCATTGTACGATTCCGACTACATCATGGGCACGTGCTTATGAATCACTATCAAATAGTGATGATACTAGGTGTTCGTGAAAAGATGAGCGCATTGTGCCCCACAAGTGAAACCCGTCACTAATTTTTTGTATCGGCCATCTTTGATTTCAATAAGGCCACCTTTTCTCATAAGCTATCGGTCTTACAAGGTCTGAAAACAACTGATGTAACATAAATTACTCCTCATCGTTAGCATTGCCGAATAGGGTTTCTGTTCGTGACTTGTTGGCATTGTTTTTGGAGCAAACACACCTGATTATTCCTAAGTAAACTCAAATAGTTTGAGCCAGTTATGCCCTCAAAGAAAAAACGGTGAGTTAAGTCCAATCAGATTTTCTATCGAAGGCAGAATTTGCGGCAGAGCATTTAACCTCTCTACTAAGATTGGTTTCGGTGTATTTCCGCTATCTTACGTCAGTAATAACTTAACCTTTGTGTTTTGTCACTTCTATATAATCATCCCACGGTTTTTACAAATAAACACTGTCATAACAGGTTTTGATGCAATTATGGTTTCCCAGGAGTCCTTATGTCATATTTACTTTTATTAAACACAACCTCCAGTAGAAAATTGTGTGTGACGTATTTAGCAGACAAATCATGTTATGTTACAGATACAAATAGCAAATTTATCACTGCTTCATTTGTTGTCAAATACCTTTGTGATGAAGCACTTTCATGCCAAAGACATCAGGAATGACAAACACAGTACACTTACTTTGACCACTTGGAAAATCTTTCAATCTTTCGATAGATTGTTGTCATAATTGGCATCATATTTGGTAATGATTTTCCAATTGACATATAAAACGCCATGGCAAGAGAATAAATAGAGGTGCATGATAGTGCATTTATTGATTTTGTTGAAACTAATAAAAACGATATGTTAACTTTGAATTTTGTCTGCTGTGTACAAGTGCCGAGATTCTGATGCTTGTAAGTAAAAGAAAACGTTTAAGAAATATGTTCGTTTCGCAACACAGTGGGGTCAGTATTAAATGTCTCGGCCCAAACATTTCTTTTGTAGTTGACATAGATAACAGTTAATGCAACTGGGCATTCTTTTCTTACAAAGTCATGAATAGTCTACTTTTCGTATGGAATATACAGCGAGTGATATTTCTTCTCTAGTTTTGCCGCCGATATCGTTCAAGTAGCTTTAATCAGGCGAATTTGCTTAACTGTACCCATTACAAAATGTTCTCATATGTTTCAATGAATATTCGAATATTTCATTAAAACTAATGCTACCAGTACATTTTTTGTACATTTAGGTAATGCCGAGAAAATATTTTAACCCGTCAATCTGGTCGCAATTGCTCCACTCGAAATAAAGCCAAGAATAAAATGCCAGTGAGAGGAGTTTATGACATCTTTAATCTGTTATCAATACTTTTCAAATATTTCACTCAGCAATAGCATAGTATTTCTTATCTCAACAATTCGTTCCAGCCCTGTATAATGGAGCAACACGTAACATTTTAACATTTTAACAGTTTATGTTCAATGACTTATTTGCTCACAGAACAAAATTTAATGTTCTCTATGACTTTATGAAACTTGTCCTTTTTATCATTGCAGGTACTTTGCCATCTGCCACACCCTAGTATTAAAAATCGATACTCGCAAGTCTCGACTTATCCTACTTGGAATTTGGGTGACAGCCTTCGCCATAATGGTTCCCTGGCTTGTCTTCTACCAGGAAGTGGAGTACAGCAACAGCAAACAGGTTCTGTACTTCTGTATTGAAGAGTGGCCACGCTTCACCATCCAACAAGCTTACTACATGGGTGTCATCTTCTTCTGTTGCTACACGATCCCACTGGCTATGATCGTAGTTTGCTATGTTCTGATTGGCATCAAGGTTTGGCGACGCGGTGCACTGGGGGAAAGAAACAGTAGTACAGGCGTTATACAAAGATCAAAGGTCAAGGTCATAAAGATGTTGGCCGTAGTCTGCATTCTTTTTGCATTTTCATGGCTTCCATTGTATGGTCTAAAATTTTGGCGAATGATCCAACCGGAAGTGGACGTCAATTCACAGAAAATCGTCAGCGATATTATATTCCCTGTGGCTCAATGGCTTGGATCATCGAATTGCTGCGTTAACCCATTGATATATTGCTTTTTCAGTCGTAAGTTCAGGAAAGGATTCAAGGATCTGTTGACATGTTGTGATGGAAAAGTAAAGTATGTTTCAGGTTCTCCAGAGGCAAGGCAAACAATGAATACTCGATGGACCTCTCGAAGCAGCCACTGTCAGTGTCGAGTGTAGTATTTGTCACTCAGAGAAATTGTTGATGTAAACTTGACGTATTATTGTATGAAACGTGGTTGCTTCCGTGTGCATTTTTGTCATATATCAAATTCCAACTATAAATGCAGCTCATTCCCGAGGACTTAAATCATAAATCTTGATCAAATACTCACAATCATTAAGATTAACTCATGCAAACTAAACGCCACCACATACAAATGTATGACATGCTTTTAGGGAATGTTGGTAGAATAATGACACATATGAAACATTCCATACAGAATTAACTGTATACGTGTTGATTCAGTCATCTATCACCGACATCAGCGTTTCGTTGTCACGCAGAATTCCTCGTATTTGATCCAAGCATTGGGGATGCCAAAGCATTGAGCCCCCTGTCCATTTTGCTGCTAAAGTGTTACAAGTGGCCTAAAACCATACAACTGAAATAATTTAAAAAAAAGGCATTGTGTTCAGGTACCAGGTATTACAACATGGGAAGTTTGTGTGATCTTTGGATAAAAACAATATTGTCATAAGCTGTTTACCAACTAATTCTCAACTGTGACAGAGGCTGATTCAACAAAGATATTTGTTCCGTTGCCATCTCAGATTCATTTGGAACCATTAGTATTCTGCACAGGAACAGCCATCACACTGGCATTTGGAGAATCGATAATGGTTAAGGTTCTTCCTTGTTCACAAGACATAATTCACATGTTGTTCAGTACTCTGCAATTGTATTTCAATGAGTCATTATTCTATTGGGAAAATGACTATTTTTGCATTCATTGTCGTCCATTTACATTAAGTAGCACTCATTTACTTCACAATCAGGTGCAACAAGTAGGGTAAAGTGTGCTAGTTACCTTCTCCATTTATTGTACTTCCTTCAACATGTAATGTCTCTTGTTAACCCCTGACTGACTGACTGACTCCACTGAATGCCAGTGCAAACAAAAAGACAATTTTGTCACGTTTCATGAAAGAGCCATACTAATGATTATGAGTATAATATATCTCTTTTCACCATCCCTCTACATCACATAACGTTTACTTGCCACTTCAACAGATGTAATTATTGTGAGACTAATAAATAAATACATGTTAAACATTCTCTATTGCTTCCCCTTGTCTATTCTTTAGCAAATGCTAGCAGACGTACATGTACCTTGTGGATCAGGTTGAGAGAATCGGGTTTTAATCGGGAAATGCATTCTTCTGAATAAAATGTTCCTCTTCCTTCTCACAATTAACACATATGTGTACCTTGAATTTGTATTGTAAAAATAGACACTGCAACAAATCATTGTTCATGACAGAACTGTTGCAGTGTGAGAGAGTGAGTTGGTTAAACGCCGCTTTTAACAGTTATATCACAGAGTGTCAGCTTTATATGGCAGGAAAATCCGCATGATGCGGGTCTCGGACGTTTACCACTTCGGTGAAACCCACCAGCACGGGTATGGTGCTGACAAACCTAGAAACATTATCGGGGCGAACCGGGATTCGAACCAACAATCATAGGTTTCTGACGTGGCCAAAGGACGGAACTCTGCGTGCCCCCTAACTGTTTCAGATTTACAACTCTACTGTTGTTGGAGGTCGCTTCAATGGCTGCAAAATGCGTATGATCAGAGTCGTATGTATGCAACATGCAGAATACTACATGTACATGCATTTCCTCAATGTTAGCGATAAGAATATTTCAATGCAAATACAAACACTGCTCGCGTTTAAACCAGAAATGATTCAAATCTGTGTGCACATACACTTTAATCCTTATAGTATGGAACCCAATATTATCTAAAATTGAATACAATTCTAGTTAGCTGAACACAACTTACTACTGTTTTCGGATGTTGGTACTTGCTTTGTCACCATGGGGAAGTAGGAATAATAGTTGGCACGTGTGATCCAGACCTCACACTAGCTGCTAGAAGCTGGTGGGAGGTTACGATTCCTAGATTGGGTTCGATGAAGATCCTTGGCCTTAGAACGCGATGCATGTACTCATTGGTTTCACCAAAATGATAAATGTCTAAATTCCTTCACTTTCGGCTTTGTCATATTAGCAAGTGATAGTGCAAAAATGGTGGAATGCCTGACTGCCACTGGTGTAGAAGGCTTTCTTCTGGTCGTGTCAAAAGTCCCCCATAGAAGAACGTCATCATTATGTACATAATGCAGGCAGTTCTTCAAGTGTAATATTTGGAAGAGGTGGAAATCTGACGTTGCCAAATCTTTTGAATAGGGAGGATTTTCAATGAGTTCACAGTCATTCATTGCAGCCATTGCGACAACAGGCTCATGTCCATTACCAGTTGCCATTAATGATCTGACCTTTTGGGATGTAAACCACCAGTAGTATATGTTTGGAATCCCTGAAAACCGAAGCCAAGACCTTGCCAGCTGATGGAACAGACATTTAACTCTTCGAAGGAGGAACCGTTGGATGATTCAAATGTTTTGACTGTTGTTTAATCTCTGAGAGATAGTGATGATCCAAGACTCATCCAGGTTGCACATCACTAAATACATCCGATGGGACTGCTTCAAAACGAAGTAAATTCTTACGATAGATGATGAACCTAAAGCGTTTGTGATAAGGAACCCAGCTAGCTGAAACCTTTGTCATGCCCAGTTCCTTCCTCAGTTTGATCTCAAAGCTCTTATAAGAGATTCCAACTGTTGTGGCCATATGGTGAGAAGTCGATCATCTATAATCATAACACGCATTTTATCAACATTTTCCTTTGTGGTTGCAGTTGAATGTCTTCCTGATCTGGAATCATCTTCTTCTGTCCCTTCCCATCTTGAAACCTGTATGCATATCTCTTAACAGTTGTGACAGAAGGAGCATCATCAGTTCGAGATACTAAGTGACAGCGCGCAAGGCAATTTTATCTATATGTATGTTTATCCACAGAGATTACCCAGACACTTTGATGAAATATTGGTTATTTATTTGGTTCAAATGCAGCCTGTAATCATTACATGCAAACTGTTAAAGGTGTTCTCTACATCCTTTGTAGTTCGGCTCAGAACTGCTCAGCCGCCTATCTATACTAGACAAATGACTGTGGCAGCTCAAACTTTTGGCATGTTAATTGATCAAGATTAACTAAATATTATATTTCCTATATTTTTAAGAAAACAAACGAACATTTTTATTGTATCCTGACAGATTTTTAGCAGTTATACCAAATGCCTCTAGATAACCAATTAAGGTAGGTAATGGTAAATCAAAGTGACATTTAGCAGAGTCTGTTGAACAATTACTACTATATCATAAGCATATACTTCTGAATAACTATCAAATAGTGATGATACTAGGTGTTTGTGAAAAGGTGAGAGCATCCTGCTCACTGGTGACACCAGTGCTATTGATTAGCACATACTAAGGCACGTTAATTGTTTATCTGAAAAAATCTTCCACTTGTCCATCGTAAAACGTTTTCACAGATTTACAGAGAAAGCAAGAATCTATGACGCTATTGCAATTATTCGTAGATTGCTCCTCAAACGTTGCGAAATGTGGGCCCCAAAGGGTGGAGCTGCTTGAATACTGCTCGACATGAACGAAATAAAGGTTCACTTTTTAACCAAGCCACATCACACTCGTAACGCCTTGTTCTAATTCTGAATCATCGGGACATTGACTTCTCTGATGTGAAAATCAGCTTTTTGCTCTTTGGGTATTTAGTTGGTCTCTGTTGTCGATTTGTTAAAAGTCATATAGTGCAGCGTATGTTCATAGCCTGTGATTCAGAAGGCATTCCACTTGCAAGTCAATCATATATCAAAACTAAATAATGAAATGATATAATAAATGGTAGAGTTGGGCTGTTAATGAACAAAAGGGAACAATCCTAGTCTTGATGATGTGCTTTATTGACATTATTAAGGGAAATGAAATGTGAATAGGGATGTATGATACAGGGTCAAGTAAACAATGACCAAACATGTTAAGTTAAGCATACGACAGATATTTCCGAACACTGAAAATAGTGTCAAAGCTATTGGGATGCTCCAAGCGGACGATTGTGAACGTCTGAGTGTGGTGCACTCCAACGTCATTCGAGGGTTATTGGAAGACTGTGGATGTGTCATAAGACCACTGGAAATGTTACCAATTTGCATATACTCAGGACAACCAAGTCGTCCTGGGGTCACAACACAGAGGCGGGATTGATACAGTGCTAATTTTATCCTACGTAACATATGACGTCACGTCAATAAAGGGATCAGCACCTTAATGATCACATTAGCAGAACTACCATAGGGAGCAAGCCCAGGCATTTAACTGGTTTCCATTCTCGACGTCCAGGAATTGGTCAACAATCTCTCATTCAGGGAGGAATTGATGTTATTTGTCACAGATGAGGGGGAGAGGGGGCATACAGTTCCTGTTATAGGTCACAGTTGTACGTTGTTGTTATGCAAGATCACTGCAAATATGAAACCATGATGTCATTGAGGACAATATGTCACAAACGAGATTCACAGATCTTTCAGGGCGATAATGAATGTCCACATCCTGGTAATAGGAATAATGCCTTTATTTGATAACAAGGCATATACAGGATGACTTTAGCACTACTGAACATCTATTTCTGAGATGAGTTTCGCTTGTTTACAGAAGCCAACCACAGATTGTTTTATTGTTATTGTGAATCTGGTGGTAACTATGAGTTGTCGTTTCACCGATGGTATCTAAAACAGGAATGGTTATTTGATATACTGACTATACTGGTATAATTCCCCGAGGGTGACAACAGTTTGTGAACAAGATATTACAGGGTGCTCCTTTAACTGCTTCATACCTTGATTTCTATTGACCTTATCACTTTTCATCTGAAAAGACTTTTGGAACAGAAACACAATTCATCATCCCCATAAAGGATAATACATGCTATTAAACTGCAATGAAGCGCTCATGTAGATTACAACTAGGTTTTTTTTCATTTGGACACTTAATACAAGAGCTGAAAACTGTACAAAGGTAAAAGAGAAAGCGGTTCCAAAATACCACCTCACATATCTTTATTTATGATGTGTTGTGCGGGACATTTATTTGTGCCAAGTGGTTTCCAGCTGATGATCCTGATCATTATAATTACTCCAAAAAAAATTTTCATCCAATTTACATCTTTAACCATTTAGTTATATCGTTTGACTAGTTCAGAATAAGAGTATGTGTGTTCGGGAATATTCGAATACGCCACTTAATTACACAAAATCAAATGAAATTGTATGTTTTTTAATGCAACTGAACGGAGTTTATGACAAGATAAAAACATTGATCTATTTCCAAATTTTCAGTCAGTAAAAGTATGTTGTTCCACAAATAAGTCTTAACGATTGCCGGTGTTCTTCGTGCACTTCTTCAAGCGATAAAGCAGATAATCGCCATTACAAAGATTATATTTGTTAATGTATTTGTTTGGAGGACATTTTCTATCTATTGCAAGACTTGATAAATATTCCTCTTTTGACAATTATAAATACTTTGCAATGTATGCTACATCCTTGAAATAAAGATCGGTACTCACAAGTCCTTTTTATCCTCATTGGAATGTGAGTTCCTTTTCTTGTCTTCTTCCAGGAAGTCAAGTACAGCAAACATGCTCTGTACATCGGTATGTTCTTGTCTCCTGTCAAAGTACTGACTATGATACTAAAATTCCTGCTTAATTTGCTGAGGTTTTGTGGATATGCTTCTATGACATCATTTAATGTCAGCAACAAAAGATTTCACTCTCGCGCAATTCCTTTTTTTGAGGCTTAGAACTCATCAGTCAACCCTAGTGTTTCCTTTAGCACTAAATAACTACATAATATCATCTTGTATGTTGCTCTACTGTTTATGGGAAACGATAAATATTTCTTTTAAGAGTTCCTCAATTGTGAAACATCCAATTGCCAGGTTCACAATGGTTATACCTTATTGATCAAATCAAGATGAACCAGTCTTCTGATGAATAGTTTGCCTAACATGGTTAAATATTTGTTTATTATTACATATATTTTACTCAAAGGAAAACGTGATCACTGTGGTAATACACTTATGAGGATAATCA